CACAGACATGGCATGAAATTTAAACAATGATAATATAAGCACAATTTTTTTTTTTTCTAAACTAGAAGGGTTTTGCTGGTTTGTTTAGTGTTACTGTTACTCAATGTTGCTGTTTTTGTTTTGTTTTGTTTTTCTCTCTTTTGTTTTTTACTTTCCCTTTTATAAAATTCTAATTATATTATAAAGCAGTGCATGCAAAAACAATTAAATTCTGTGAATGGAATCCTCAGCAAGAGGTGAGGAGGCAAAGGAGAAAGGGTAGTGGGAAACAATCACAGGGGATAGCAACTGGCCTGAGCAGTTCTGATGCCCTGGGGAGCTGTTCTCCTAGTGGGTGGAGGCAGCAATTGGCACATCATAACCTTTTCCTTCTCAACTAGAGAGAAAACAGGAGGCTGGACCTAAATGATCAAACTGTAACTAATTGATTTTCAGCTAATCCAAGCCTCTAGCAATGAAGAAACTGGGACCAAAGGCAGACCCCAGGGAGGGTAAGAACAGTGAGGAGAGGAGGGCCAAGAAAGCCTTGGGCTAGAGAGATTATTGAGCTAAAAGAAAAGGCCAAAGAATGTTAGCAGTGGCTGGGGGAAGGCGGGTTGGGTGGCTAATATTTCAGAAAAATATAAGAATGAAAGGGAAGGACCTGGATGTGGTAGATGAGGTAGTCCCAAATCCTTTTAACCTATGTGATCATTCCCATTCTAATCCCCAACTGTGACTTCTTACTAAACTTTCAAAGCTGGCAATTTGTGAACGATCACTCCAACTTTCATAATCTTTAAATTAAACTATAATTACAAATATTTCTGGAAGCCAGAGCAGTAATTTGACAATAAATATCATTTTAAAGAACAAGATTCTCTTTGGTCGTGTTACTGAATGAAAGAGTTTGCTAAAGGAAGAGAGAACAAGGTCCTTGCCCCCAAAGACCTCTTTTCTCTTCACAAGACATGCTTTAAAGAACAATTATATTTTTAACCAATGGTAGCATTTGCTATTCAAGACCTAATCCATGAATACGAATACTATGATGATTTTAGATCTACTTCTTCCATCCAATCTTCACAGCCTGCTCCCCCACCCCAAAATCTTGCATGTGTTTATGGGTACGTTTATATTTTACAAGTGTTAATAACCCTATTAGAGAGACTACATCATCAATAGGCATCTATATGTAGCTCTGCAAGTAAATTTATTTCAACTGGGTACTAGAGTAAACTAAAAACAACAACAAATATCATTGATGTCTTTCAAATCTGTCATATGAGGATCTAAGTAATTTTTTTTTTTTTTTTTTTTTACAGTACCAGGAGATGTTAACAATTTGGTGAAGCAGAGGGAAAGGCGTTTAATTTAAAATTTTACATTTAATTTCATTTTAAAGTTTTTTTGAAAGCTTTTTCCCCCTGTAATTTCACGTCTAACAAGCTCAATATGGTATTATAAAATATGAAAAAACTTAAGCATCATATTTGTATGTTATGTCTTGACAATTAGTAACTATTCATGAAATGGGTATAAAAATAATTTGATACCAAGTCAGTCAATCCAAAACCATTGAAACTAAAGTTCTTTTCAGGAGAACACCATTTATGCAATGAGTAATAAAGTAAATTTTCTATTTTGACTGTTTTATTGTAATTTCCTAGAAAATGTCTATAATATTATGTCATATTATTTATATCATAATCAAGTAGCCAATTAAAAATTGATCTCTAAAAGATCTTAGAAATACACTAAATGTTTATGTAAATGAGATCTACTTAAATATTACAAGCAAATTTGCTAGTATTTCCTTTTGTTTACATAGGCATTCGATGCATAAACTAGTCTGTCATTTTTGAAACAGATAAAAAAAGAAAAAATAATTACCAGAAAGATATTTTTTATCACTAGAAAAATCATGTGATATTGACTAAGCCAAAGTGGCACTGATATTCAACAGTTTTAGCCACAAAACAGAGAAGCTCACCTATAAAAGCCAGATAATATGAGACTGACATAGGTAGTTTAAGAACAATGAACACAATAGAGTGAAAAGATTCTCTTTACACAGTTAATAATTTACCTTTGGTTCTTCCAAGTGAACAAGTCACTAAAATATTTTAAAAGTCAAATATTTCATGTAATATGACTCAATACATCTATGCCCATTACTTGTTCATTATGAGGAACACTTATGTAAGGAAAAAGAAATTATTTTCTTCAATGACAAGATTATTGCAGAGAGTCCATGATATGACTTGAAAATATCAACAACACTAAGCACTTAAACAGAAAGATGTTATTAGATCGTTTTTGTATAATTCATTTTATTATGGGAAATGTCAACAGATTCTTTTCACATATTTAAATATCCAGGTCACTTCCTTAATACAAATCCCCTGTCTATTACTAATTTGACTCATTTGCACTTAGTCCCCATTACATGCATATCCTTTATGTCACTAGCAAAAATAAGGCAAAACCCTCTTGGGTCTTTTTAGAACATGAAACAGGTTTCAGGTAATCGTTACTAATGAGAATTATTTTAAAAAGCACTGAAATTTTTAGTGCAGTTAATACTGATATTATACTTGAAACCTTTCTGAACATACTTTGACCTATTTTATGATAGAAGAAATACAAGAAGTATTTATTAAGTAATGATTAAGTTCTAAGATTTGAACATAATAGAAGTCTAAGGATAATCTAAGGATAGTCTAAGGATAATAAAACTGTAGTTCAGTTTTCCTCAGAGACTTCTAGGAGAAATTTACTTGGTATCAGAATCAATTTTTTAGCATCATGTGGGTCATTAATCTGTAAATATGAAATGCAGAAGATAATATCTCTTTTGTTATTGAGGATAAATCATTATTGAACAGTTTAAACAAGATAACAAAGTTTTCTGAAGCTTACATCTAATATTGTTTCTCTAGAATAAAATATATGTACTCATGATATAATTAATTAACTGCTTTGCTAATATAATGTATACAGTGAACAAATGTAACCAAAATTTCACTGATCTAAATATTGTAAATATTCCTTAATGAGAAAAATGGATTTCAAAAGTTGTGTACTGTTGTTTGTTTTTATCTTTCTTACTCTAAGAAGACTTTAAAAATAATGACAGATACAAAAATCATACTTAATTATTTTTTAAAAAATTAAATACTTTCTTTGCGTGATCAACATTTTCAATTATAAAAAATATACTAATAGGAGAAATTCATGACTGAGTTGTTTTTTGTTGTTATTGTTTTTAAGTATATAACAAAACACATGTCTTTTTGTCAGCTTTTAGATGATCTCAGTGATGTATTTTTTCAGTGATGTATTTTCTAAATATGTAAGTTATGTTAAAAGGGAATTTTTTGGTTAAACTTTTGAAATGAGTTTAAATTATTGAATAATACTTTAGAAATGCTGCAAAGTAAATTGTGGATCACAATTATATATCACTTACACTAAATTAGTTTCTAAAAAACAAATTTAGAATTAAGGTAATATTTTAATGGTCTAAAAGTTCAATTAACAAATTTAATTAACAAATTAAATTTGTTAATGATATGTTGGAGAAAAGACCTGGAGACTACCTGAGCAATGCAATGAATGATGACTTACTAAAACTTAATAATAAGGACTTTGTCTCTAGTAACATGAAGCATGTGATTTATAAATTACCTTATCCTTCATACTAGGATTGCTAAGAGCAAATGAGCAGAGCATATTAAGCAACATGTATTATAAAAGCATCCACATGTTATTAGGATTTGTTGTTATCTGACTTTTCAAAGAATATTTCTTTTGAAATATTATATAAGGAAATGTTACTTGAGTATATAATGAAACACGTCAATTTTAAGTCAAAGCAGATTGAATTTTTAAAATGAAGTTTTAAAAGTTCTTACATTAAAGATATCTCAATTCTTCGTAGTCAGTTAAATTTGGTGATGGTATATTTAATTTTAATGATAAAACTTATTCCATGTTATTTTTCCTTAAAAATATCTGAATATAGAATGTGTTCACCTTCAGTTTCAACACATTTAAAGAAACACATTTAAGAAAAATTACTGGCTTTATAAAATCATCTTAAATTGGTAAACTATTTAATATTATTACAAGAAGGAATATTGCTGGTAAATACTATATAAATTCGATTAACCATTTCAAGTTTGGTCCTAGATAGTGTCCATGTTTTAAAAATATAATAAAAATTCCAGCACTGAATAAAAAAGGAATAAAAAAATTAATCTATAAAATGTTAATTGTTTGAAAATTTAATTAACTTTTTATTCTAAATAAAAAAAGGAAAATTTGTGCTTGATATTTCTCTTGCCTGTCAAAACCAAATAGATATGGCATATGTTAATCATTAGAGTTAAGAAATGTCTGATCAGAACTTCATATCTAAAATATTTTAGTAGGATTTCAGAATCCCTTCCTGAATTATTTGATAGTAATCATTTACAATAATATTTGATTGAAGTTAACTTTACGTAAATATTTTAACAGTAATTGCCTCCCCTATAATGTAAATAAATGCTTGCATGTTTTTCAAATTACTATCAGCAACAACAAAAAAGTTTCACAGTGTCACTCTTACTTACTCATCCCTAAAATTTCTTTGTTTGTTTTTTCTTTCATTTTTCATTTTTTCCCCATAACGTAGCTATTGTGGTGAATTTCCCCTTTTCACACTATTGCCTGTTCATTTCTATATTTAAGTAAGATTGAAAGTTTAACAAGACTCAAATAAACCCAAACCATAGTGCTTAATTTTAGATTTCCATATTAAAATACATATGAGTGTGTGTGTGTGTGTGTGTGTGACTTTATCGCCTAAGGCAAGATCTTACATTACATCAATGAAAGAAAGGAAACAGAAGCTGAAGAGTAGAGTTATAGAAAATGACTTTATATAAACATGACCACCTACCAGGCAGCTACTTTACCATTAGGAAAACTTCCCCTTCGTAATAACAAAGATTAACAAATAAATGAAAACATACCTAAGTTGACAAAGCTCATAACCATGTCAGCATCATTCAGAAAGTTGGTATCATGTAGGCTGGCTAGAGGAGGACTCTGGGTTGCCAAGGTTGTAGTCGTTCGCGATAACTGTATGCGACGAGGATACCCATTGGGAGAGGCTGGGTATCCTTTTCTTGTTCCTCTGGTGTCTCCTGCCAAGGATGCCCTTACTGAATATTCTGACTCTTCGGGGTTATCTTCATTGGCCATGGCATTGTATAGGTCCAGCATAAAGAGAGGTGCAGAGGACGCTTGTTTTCCAGGTGAAAATGGTCTGGGTCTATGAGGCAAACCCAAAATAGAGAGAATTTCCCTCTGTATTTCCCGTCTTTCATGGTTCCGTAGTCTTCTATAAATAAAACTGGAGTGAACATGATTGTCTCCCAAACCTCCTTTTGCATAACCCACTAGAACCCAGCAACTCCAAAGGAAACCCACAATGCCCCTAAGTAAAAATACAGTCAGATGCATTTTTGTCCAAAAAGGAAAAGTTGATATTTTTAGTCCTTCTTTACAAAAAGAAAAATCTAAGTTCCTAGGAGGTACACTTTTCCAGTAGCTGAAAAACAAATTTACCTATTCTTCATGACAGTGACATTTCTGAACACAACATCCTCACTGATTTTCCTGTCCTATTTTAAATAGTGTGGAATGTGTCAAGAGTAGTTATTTCTAAGAAAGCTGAAACTCAGATTTCCAATTATCCACAGTTGTTAAGACTTTTTGCTGCATGAAAGTAGCAGAAGACGGCTAATATTATTTGATCAGATGACCTATGCATTCCTATATGAATGTATGGTAATCAGGCCTTTGGTATTTGAATTAATGAAAGTTGATCTTCTGATAAACTGTAGTTCCCAAAGTGATCTTCACTTGCTCTTGAGTTCTTCTCAACCCTTGAGCTCTTTCCAAGACAAATCCTGATTTCTGAATCACAGATCTATGCTGATCTGCACCTTGGTGTTGTAATATATATTTGTCCGGCAGCTTGGTGATAACTTTAACATCTTTTGTATCGTCTTAGTGTAAAATAAGACTCAAGGTTATACTATTCAAGTAAATGTGTTTGCCTGAATTTACTTGAAAACCTTCCTGTAAATCCATTCAATCTCTTTCTCCTTCTTACTGTTAATTCCACCTCCAGCAGGCACAAATATACCAGCCCTCTTCAAGAGAGATCTAAAGAGTAATGTAAGTACAACCCTGCTGGGAAAGAAGAGGCTTCTCATTGTAATTTGAAACTGGTAAAGCAAAAAGAACTTAACCCTTTTGCTACCAGAAAAGCCTCCATTCTTACAATTTTATAGTCCGGCATCTATCATAGTACACTGATCGTGGGACATATGAGTTCTAGGAGGGGAAAAGCCAGTTTTCAAATAACCGACTGACAATTTTGTTACCCGTTTTATATTATATTCTATAAGATTTTTTTAATGGCACACATTTAATACACTTCTGTATTAAGTCTCAGGTTACAGCTAAATTAACATGATATTTCTCAGTTCTATATTTGAGACTACTTCTAGTTTTTAAGTCATTAATATTTTTTTTTAAATAAAAAGAGGATTTGTAAATTGAGATTAATTTATTGCTTTAATGACAGCCAGATCTCCTTAGAATAAAATACAGTAGAGACTTAATTAATACTAAATATAGTCTAGCCCTCAAAGCAACAGTTAGTAGTAATTTAATAAAGACAATCAGATAACCAAGTTTAAGATTCTAAATATGAAATTTGAAGCATAAAAGTATTTTCATATTTCTCTTATTAAATCCATGCATTTGAAACACAAATATCTAAGATGCTGCATGATGATTCTTCACTTTTAATTCATCTCAGTTGAAATGTAAACAGCTTTACAAATTAAATATTTCCTATAAATTATACTCAGTACTTTGTTTTAATCCATGCAAATAAACATAAGTCAAATATTCTTCATGACTATATGCAGATTTAAATTAGAGTGTTTAAAATTTGACGGGTATAATGGTGAAAGTGCACACCTTTGTAAAATACCATACTTAATTCAAGGAAATGAGCAAAGTATGTGTTTATCTTTAAAGTTCAATGCCTTTAAAATTTGGATGTCTACAATGCATTTGTGCAGCTATAATTTTCCTTACAAGCTCTCATTTAACCTTAGGGCTCACAGTACTTTCATTGTCTGGAATAGTACTCTGATACCAATGTAGATTTATCGAGCAAATTCCAGAACTATTATGAAATTTTTATGTTTTTCCTTTACTCTATGTAAAGGTGCCTAGTTTCTTATTTAATTTCTTTTTAAGTGTTTCCTGAATGTTCTAAAGCTAAGTCAAGTTTCTCATACTGTTTCAATTTATTGATGTAGGCAAGATAGAATTTGATAGGCTAGCAGAATCAAATTGTATGCACCATTTTTCTTACACAAACTCACTCCACTGATACTTGATGATGATCATCAATATTTGGTCTACTAAAAATTCTGTATTAATAGCCATGTAGGATGTCACAGCATCTGACTCAAATACTGACACGCATGCAATACATCTATAAAATGGATTCACATGCATGCTAGCAATGCAAGTTGGGAGTGAAAGAATACTGTTTCAAAGAAATGATTTAAACAAAAGTTGTTAGTTCAGTATATAAACCAAATTAAGAATTTTTTTTTTTATCATTGGTACGGATTAAAATCAATTACTTTGAAACTCAAATCTCCCTCTCTGACTTTATAAAACATATCCCAGATAAAGCAGACCACAGTTTACCCTTTATATTTTCAACTAAATTATCAAGTTTATGAATTTGCTTCTTGTCTCTAGAACATTGCCTAGAGTTACAAAGCAAAAATTGGCCACACTAGTGGTGGAAACAACTCTTATTATCTTCCATATGTGCTGATTTTTTTTTTCCTAAGGTACAGTGAAAAATAAAAATGAGTCTAGGTGTTTCAAGTCTCAAAAACTCATTTTCCCAAAGCATGATTTATAATATCAATCCGTATAATTATAATTTAATTGCTTAACCAGGCATATAGTTTACTTCTATATTGGGAATGAGTTGCCAGTTTTCTTGGTCAGAATATTTAGTATCTACCCTCCCCCCACCTTCCCTTCTAACTCAGACTAAATTTGGCAAACATTCTTTTTTCAAAAAGATCAACATGTGCAATGAGAGAAAGAAATTAAAGAAGAAAAAAACCTGCCAGAAAGAGAGGGGAAATACTAACCACCAAATGAAAAGTCAGATTCATTTTCAATTAAAAGTAGATGTGTCTTACCACATTATTTTGGATTGTTAGGGAGATGTGTAATAAGTGTGTGAGAGCAATTTGAAAGAACATTTTGCAACTTTAAAGTAAAAACGTTCCAAATTTCATAGCAAGTAATTAAAAGTTGAAATAAGCATATTGAATAAGCATATGGGAAGAAAGAATCCCACTAGATGCAGCGGGCAGAAGAAAAACCAAGGCCATCACAATTGTTTCTGAAAACAAGTACATTTTAAGAAGAGGAACTTTGTGAAAATCTGTCTCTCACACTGTCTTATTGGCTTGAGAAATATATGAATAAAGTGACCTAGGGAAAAACAGAGATGATTGAATCAATAAAAGACTTATTTCTCCACTGTCATTCTTTCTATTCCTGTTTCTCACTTGTTGTTAAGTGCCGTTGAGTCGGTTCCGACCCATAGTGACCCTCTCTGAAGTTTCCCAAACTAAAATGTAGTACATTTAATTCATGAATATGCAGACAGACTATGCCTAAGTGACTGATTCCATTTTTTTTCTCAAACTTTTAAAGCCTTAAGGGAGGGAAAACAAAACAAAACTTTGCTCAAAATAAATTCAAACCATTTAGAAAGTCTGTTTTATTTTTGAAAGGTCTATTTCTCTTCTGTTTCTTGTTGTTGCATTACGTTTTCTCCTTTAAACAAAAACTTCTAATTGAAAGATATTACTACAAAGAAAGAATTACATGTTGTTGTTATTGTTGTTAAGTGCTATCTAGTCTGTTCCGACTCATAGAAACCCTGTATAGGGTTTCCAAGAAGTGGCTGGCGATTGTGAACCCCAACTCTGTGATTCAAATCCACCTTTTGGTCCAGTGTTTTCTCCCACAGTGCAACACAGGTAATGTTTATTAGGAAACCTGCTTTCCTAAATTATCTCAGGATTGGTAAATAATTCAAAAGCATTTGAATATGATCATAAAACCCTTAAATTGAAGGTACCTTGGATTGTGTTGGAGGGGGAAAAGACACAGGGTGGGGATGAGAGAACTTAACAGTTTTAAGAGGCTGGCAGCAATAGGACAATTAGGAAGACATCCTCTTTGCACAGAGTATATGCGAAAGTGCATAACAAAGTAACATCTGTGATTAAATTGAGTCAAAATATAGAATACATATAAACAGAGAAAATGGCATGCATACTGGCCATCCCAAGGTAGACAGAGTACTGCCACAACACCACCATCTGACTTAGATTTGCTTGTAGTAACCTGAAAACAATTGTAATAGTAAGCAGCCTTTACCCTGTCTATGAGATCAGAAGTTGGAACTATATAATACAATCACCAAATGCTACTGAAATGTTTGATACTATTTTTAATAGATAGTGGCACTGTTAAATGTTTGGAAGTGAACAGAGGCATTTTCAATATGCTTTATACTATTGCTTGCTCATAAGACTGCTTTCTGTATCATCAGAGTAGATATCATAATGGTCATTTCTAGGAAGAATAAACCAATATTTAATCATTAAAAATCAAATGCTGTTAATGAAATACTATTCTAAGGATTTACCTAACAAATAGACTCCAATTAACTGCCCCGAGATTGTTTGGTCTGTGGAATTATTAGGTCATATGTTTGATCCTGATGTGGCGCTGTGGGCTAATTCGCTAGATCATTAAATCCATTTGAATGTCATGGTCGAGGGTTCAACCTCACCAACTACTCCTCAGAAACCCAATAGAGGGTCGCTCTGGATCAGAATCGACTCAACTGGTACTAATAACAACAAATGTTTTATCCATCATGCAAACTGACAGAAAATTTAAAATAATTAGATACATTAACTATTAACATCAACTATTATGTAGTTTACCAAGGAATAGTATGTTCATTTATAGAACACTTTTAAAACTCAAAAAAGCAAACAACTAACTTGGAACAACCCAGCCTTTAGATTATTAATTCATTCGCCTAATATGATCAGCGCTTGACTTTGAACCACAAGGTCGCCATTCAAACCCACCAGCTGCTTCTCAGAAACAATATACAGGGTTGTTTTTAGTCAGAACAGACTCAGCGGCACTTACCAACAACATGTGACCATTGGGGTACTGGTGTGGCAATCAAAACCACAAATGATTTCTCGGAAACCCTGTATAGGGCCGTTTTCAGTCAGACCTGATTTAACTGCCCTTGTGGGCTAATGCATCAGACTGTAAAGTTGTTTGAACTGCATGGTCGGTGGTTCAAGCTCACCAGCTGCTCCTTGAAAACCCTATACAGGGTCGCTACGGGTTGGATTCGACTCGATGGCACTTAACAACAACAACAACAAGATGTGCTGATTACTTAGATACAACCACAAAAAACAAAAAAAAGGTTCTTATCCTCATGAGATATGTAGTTATGTGGTATTCTCATATCCTTTGGCTGAAGGAAGGGTGTAAGGTTATTGTTTAAATGTGTTTATTAATCAAGGAGATTTGACCTTGACTTCTGGAGATAACAACTAGAATGTCAGCAGCACAAAGGTAAGGGCTGAGCTCATTTTTTTCACTTCTGAATCACCGTACTACAACAGTACATATTAGTTTATGTTGACCAACAGATAGTGTAACCAAGATAAACAATATTCTGAGGATATTTTAAGAACAGTGCTCTCTGAAAACACAGTTTTAAGAGTCATTAGGCACACTAGTTGACAAATTGCTGTATTCCTTAATAGGTAGACTCACCTAAACTACTAAAAGAGATTAAAAAAATAAATAAATAAAATAACTTAACGACATTTCTCACTCCACAGTTATAAATCTAAGTACAAACTCTGCCAAATCTAGATAACTGTAATGAATAAGAAGTAAAAGCATCATATAGCAAATCACATTTCAAAACACCACATCAGTTGCTGTCCATTCTGACCATTGCAACCCCATGTGTGCAGAGTAGAACTGCATATCACAGTTTTCAA